ATGTTTCAGAGACACTAGTGACAGATCTCATCTACCTTCCACTTACACTTCATGCAGCTTTTAACATTCAGCTGTTCATTTCCAGGGCACACCTTCAGAGGTTAAATGCAGATCGATTCTTAATTCCTATCTTTATAAAACTAAATATTCAGACAGAATTAAAGAGCTGGCCATGGTGGCACACACATGTAACCCTAGTAGTTGGAAGTGGAAGCAGGATGAGTGTGAACTGGAAACCAATGTTAACTCTATAGAAAGTTCAGACCAAGGTTTAGCTTCATAGGACAGCAGTGTCTCAAAAAAGTTAGGAAGGGAGGGATGGAGGGAGGCAGTGAAGTGGGGAGTATGAAGGAGGGAGGGAGAAGAGAGTTAGGGAGGACAGAAATTAAATAAGGAGCTGGGTATGGTGGTTGGTGCACACAATCCCAGCACTCAGGTGGCTGAGGTAAAAGAGTTGCCATAAATTAGAGGCTCTCTTGGGCTATATAGAGAGTTCAAGATCAGCCTGAGTTAAGAGTTTCAAAAAGAAAAGAATTTTTTAACTGGGCATTGTGTCATATCCCTTAGTCCCAGCACTCCAGAGGCAGAGATAGGCAGATCTCTATGAGTATGAGGTCAGCCTGGTCTACAAATCGAGTTCTAGGACAGCCAGGGCTACACAGAGAGAAACCTTGTCTCAAAAAACCAAAACCAAACAAACAAAATTTCTAACTCTACAAGTTTCCTAACTTTAGAGGTTTAAAGATTTTACTCAAGATCATGCAGAAAACAAGGATAAGGTGGGGCTCAGATTAATTTATATGTGGGGTCAGGTAGTATGATTATGTGTATGCATGTAAAAACCACAAGTCAATCTGGGGTTTAGTTCTTCAGGGGTCTTCCATCTTTTTTCTGAGAAGGGTCTCTTACTGAAGTCTGAGGCTTGTCAGTCAGACTAGGCTGGCTGTGGAGGGAACTCCTTGGATCCTCCTGTATCCAGATCCCCAGAGCTGGGACTGTAAGTATGTGCTACCACATCCAGGTCAAATTCAGAGCCTCACATTTCCACAGCAAGCACATTACCAGCCGAGCCATCTCCCTTGCTCTCTGATTTTTTATGAGTGTAAATCCCATTGATTTAATTTATTGATTGATTTATTCTCTTAGATTACATAGGTTTATTGGGGAGCAGATATTTGCAAATAATACTTTGAAAAACTACAAATCTTATTTGTAAAGTATCACAAAGACTCTTTTAAAACAATAGTTCTAGGACTGGCAAGATAGCCCAAAGGGTAAAAGCTCTTCCTTCTAAGCCAGAGGACCCAAGATCAATCCCTGGGTCCCCTAGAGTAGAATGAAAGAACACATTTTCACAAGTTGTTCTCTGACCTCCACACGTGTCATGGCACACATATGCTACACACACATTTCCATGCACATAAATAGATAAGTATAATTAAAAAATAGTTCTAAAAAACACATATTCTTTTAATGGCTCAGTGTCTGAGTTATATCAATGCTGATGCCTACAGAATCTTTCTGTGGGTTTTTATGTCAATATCTACCTTTCAAGCTCAGGCTATCTACAACAGTGCCAAAAATTACCATTTTAAACATGCGATGTCCTTCAGTTTACATTTGCAGATTCCTGTGAAATAGCATCTTCCAATGAAATCCACTGTGCTGGAGGATAAAAAAAGTTTACAGACAGTCAAATATACCGATGCTTTTAATTCTAAAATTAGATAAAAATTTGCCATATGTCCTCTCTAAAAATTTTGTGTATGTGTGTGTGTGTGTGTGTGTATGTATGTGTGTATGTATGGCAGTAGGGATAGAACTCAGGACCTTATAAATGCTAGGAAGCATGCTACCTACCATTGAGTTATATTCCAAGAGTTCCATCTTTCTTTTAAATATGTACAGTTTAAAAGTATTAAATATGGTCACATTGTTGTGGGATGACTCTCCAGACCATTTTCATAAAGCAAAACTGAAACTCTATACTTAATGTATAACAACTCCCAATTTCCCCTCTCCTCACTTCCTAGCTATCCCTATTGTCCTTTAGATACTTCATATAAGCAGAGTCATACAGTAGTTATTGTTTACCTACTGGTTTGTTTCATTTAAAATAATGTACTCAAGGTTGATCCCATTACAGCATGTGACAAGATTTCTTTCCTTTAAGGCAACCTTCTGGGTACCCACTTACAAGACAAGTCAATGGAAAGTTAGATTATTTCTATCTCTTAGATTGTGGATGCTGCTGCTATAAATACAAGATGCTGATCTGAACTCTTTGGATGTATACCTACAAGTGGAATTATATGGCTCATATGGTAATTCTGTATTTAATGAAGAACCACCACATTGTTTCTCTATAGCAGCTTTACCATTTCACATTTCTGCAACATGCCATGGCCCTCATTTTTTCACAGTACCCCTATGACACTTTTAGTTGTGATTTGACACAAATTTCATAAATTCAGAGCTGAACTAGACTCTCAAACATAACCATAGGTCATTTTTGTAAGAGTTCAGTAACATTTGTACCTACTATAAATATTTGGCAGATTTACTCCTCTTGCAGAGGATTGCAGGTCACTTCCCAGCATCCATATCGTGAAGCCCACAACCGCCCAATCCAGAGGCCTTTACACCTCTAGTCTCGAGGGTGCCCATGCATATATATCCACCCCTCTTCAAACATATACAAACATACACATAGTGACAAAATAGTAAGATAAATCTTAAAAACGAATGCATTCACTGATCCACACTCATCTTGGCACATGAATCCACTGTGATTATAACTCCAACAGAGAAAAGCAAGCAATACAAAAACCCTGATTCTATGCTAGACTCCAAAATGTAACAACCCAACCTGAGACTTATGACCACAGCAGTTGTGAAGATAGACTATTTCTAATTTTTGTGTGAGCATATCTAAGGAAAACAACACATTGGATCATAGAACCTTTGGGACATTTGGTTTTACGATTTTATCATCTTGGGCTTTCTTTTTCACCATACAAGTGCACATATACAAACAAAATAGCACCTCATCTATCTCTGTAATAAATGATGACTACACTTAAGCAAATTCACAAAAGATTTCAAGGGGGCAAAGAGGCTATATATAGCCTTACTTCCCTATATTTTAAAATGTACAAATTTACTATCTTTATTTACCGTGAATTTCACTTTAAATGAATCATTACATACTTCTTTCCAAGTGACTGTTAAAGACTTACTTCAGTGAGGAAGGGTGTTTGGACGAGGCATTGAGCCTTAAGAGTAAACAAGGGATGAACAGACACATGACTCTTAAGTGCCTGGAAGTGTGACCTCAGTACTGACCACGTTGGGTAAACCACAGACTTTGTCCAGACAGTCTGCCCACTTAGATAAACTCCAAGGGAATCATCAGACTGATGGGAGTGGCTGGAACACCAAATGATAACCTTGATTCCCAGGGACCATGCCATCCACTGTCCAGTTAAAAGGCCACCCCACCCGTAAGACTTACTTGGTAGGAGGGATGTCTGTAGAGTAAAGGTCTATGTCAGTATCAGCCAGCAAAACAGCCTTCATTCCCCTAGAGCTGAGAACTTGTTTACAGAATTTGCAACACAGGATGGACACGCATCGGTCCTTGAAAGTACAGTTGTTGGTAGACATAACGTCCCACGAAGAAAGAAGTGCACAATTTTGAAAGGGGAAACTTTGATTTCCTCAGCCTAACAGTCAAGACCTTGAGTTCTCTAAGCTCTAAAACTGGGAAGAGAGTCCTATTTTCCTGGAGGAAAGGTAAAATTAGTATTTACTGAGTAGGAAGAGAAAATTTTACTTCCTTTTGACTTGGGGAGAGAAAGGAAATGGAGTTCAAGGTGGGGAGAGACAAGTGGAATTGAAGGGAAACTTCGCAATAGGTTTTACTTTCTCTGGTCTTCAAGAATCTTCAGCTCCTCAGCTCCGACCCCGGCCCCGGAATTGGGCGATTTCCCAGTTCCCAGCGGGCTCTTCCCTTTAAAGCCTGGCCTCTCTGACCACTCCCAGCGCGAGCCCCGCCCGCAGAGCGCTCCAATTCCTGCTCTGCTCCACGCGGCTTCTTCGTAGGATTCAACGCCCCTCGTCCTTTCCACGCCGGCTCTGGCCCCTTCCAGCGCCCTCTTCTCCGAGCTCGGCCGCGGACCCCCTTCCTTGCACCACGGCTCTCGGCGTCCTCTCCCCCACCTAGCTCTCGCGCTTGCCACCCGTAACCCTGAAGGTCTCTCCCACAGCGGTCGCTCCGAAGTGAGCAGCGAGCGATGTTGTGAGGTGGAGGGGAGAGGCGGCAGAATAGGTTCAGTCCACGTTGGAGTCAGTCACCGAACACGCCGGGTTTCGCTCTTTCTTCCGCTTTCTCTGCTTTTCTAACCCGCTGTCAGTTTGAATTGCCTGCGCCGAGCAGGGATTGGGAGGACTAGAATTCGCCCCAGTCCCACATTGGAAGGCCAAGGGCCTTCTTCTGACGTGAGCTCAGAGGCCGCGCCCCAGTAACGGTGCCGATGTCGGATCGGCTCTATGATTGGTTAAGCTTAGCTCGGCCTCTAAGCTCATTGGCCAGCATCTGCTCGGATTAAACCCTCCTTCCCCCTGTGAACTTGGAAGACACACCCCAAGTTTCTTATTGGTAGATACGCTACTGTCCAGGCCGATCTCTACTGCTTATTGGCTGAACTCCCCTTCCCGGTCCGATTGGTCCCATCTTCTCTTGCGAGTTTGTGTTTGGTTGTCGCTTCCATTTTATCCCGCCCATCAGTTCTACTTTAGGCTTCTACAGGCCGGGGAGGAACTCACTCTGGGACTGAGCCTAGGCATCTTGTGTTCGCCACACCTCTAAGTTTCGTCAGCCCCGCCTCTACTCCTGGCGTCCATGGATCAGTTATTTCTATTGGCTAGAGGCCCCGTCAGTCGATAGAAGGCGGGCGGTGATTGGCAAAGGGGTGGGTTCTGCTTCCCGGCGGGGTCTTGCGGAGTTGGCGGAGTCTCCTTAGGGAACTGGGGGGCCGAACTGCGTAGAAGAGGGTGGCGGGGAGGAGAGCGCTAAGTGGGAAGCGGAACCTTGGGCCTGGGACCCGTCGCGGCAGAGCCAGGTAAAGGCTCCTTCTTCCCTTCCCTCCCCGTATGCACGGCTGCTGCTCTGACTTTACAAACCGGGACTGGGCGGGTGGACGCGTTGCGGATGCTGCTGCTCTCGGCGCCGCCTTAGCGGTGCCGCCGCCCGCGGTCCTCACACCGCCCTCCTCGGCCCTCCAGATCCCCCAGTGCAGCCCATAATACTTCTCAGGACTGCTCGTCTCTCCGCCCATCCCTGCACTGCCGAGGACTGTCCTCACGCGGCGACACTGCCCTCCCGCAGCCCCTTTGCACACGGCTGGCCAGTCCACCTAGGGGCCTCGCCGTAACGGTCCGCTGGCCTCGTCCCTGGTCTCCCAGCCTTGGCTGCCAGCCCAGGACCCGGAAAGATGGGGTGTTCCTCACGGCTTGCAGGGCGCTTTCTCCGTCCAGCCCTCCAGTCTGTCTCCCAGGGCTCTCCACCCACTCTGATACCCAAACCTCATGCGAGTCCCTAAAGTTGCCAACATCCTGCACTTCACGTTGCAGTTCACCGCGGTTTCTCTCACTGCCTCGCCCCCAAAGCCGTCCTCTCGGCGCCCTCTCTGGTCGTGCAAGCTTGGGCGGTTCGAGCTGGCCCGGGCTCTCTCCCGCCTCGGGACCCCACCTCACGCCCGCCTCCCGCTTCCTGTCCTCCCGCACCGCGCGGCCTCTGCTCGCTCTTCCTGCGCGCGGCCCTTCCTCCAGCCGCCGGGAGTAGGCGACACTGCCTGGAGCCGCCTGTACGCCGGCGGGGACAGGGCGGCCTAGGAGGCAGGGGCCCGCCGCAGCATTGGAGCTCTTCCCTCAGCCTCCCTGCTGCCGCCTCTCGCGCGTCCTGGAGCGAGTATCACTGATGCCTCTCACCCGACTGGGATTGGGTGCGGTATTTACGATCCCTGGGCTTGGGGGACAAAAAATACTGGGGGTGCCATTTAGAGTCACCCTCATACCTGGCTTGGGGGAGGCGACCGCCGCCTGCCGCCTCCCATCTCCGGGCTTTCCCGGTTTAGACCCTTGCCTCTAGCCCGTTTCCTGCTTCTGCCGACCACATTGTTTTCCTGGATGTCCCGTGCGGAGCGGGCCCTTCCTGCAGCGTCCCCCTTTTACCCCCCCTGTTTTGCTACCAGGAGAAGCTAGTTACCAAAAACAAAACAACTGGAAGGAGGGGTGGCAGAGGAAGAAAAGTTGTGCCCATCTGGTTTGTCCCCTCTGGTATTGATTCTGTAGATGTTTGGGAGGTGCCCCAGCCGGAGGTCAGGGGCCGCGTCGTGGGCTAGGCGGGAGGACCCCTCTTGGGCTAGCTGGGCTGGGAAAGCGCCGAGGTGCCGCAGTCCCCACCCGCAGCTCTGCTTTCCCGCCGCAGTCTCCGCCCGGAGCACGCGCTGCCGGCTGCTCCAAAGTGTTCTCTTTCTGCCTTAAAACAAAATCTGGAGGAAACCTTTTTCCTCCCCTACATCGCCACGCCGGGTCTTCGAGCCGAGCGGTCGTTGTTAGGCCAAGATGAATGGGCCAAAGCTGGACTTGGAGTGTCATCCCCGACCCCACCCCTGTTGCGATTAGGATCTGCCCTCGGACTGATCGCCCCCTCCCCCTTTTTTTGCATTTACAGGCTAGTGAACCGGAGCAAAGGACTTCCGATCCACTCTGTGCTGCAGCAGCACCCTTTTGGGATTTGATTTGCAGCATCTTTGAGCTGGTACCACCAAAAAAAAAAATTACCGCGAAGAACGCCTAGTCCTCCCCTGGTACCCCAAGACAAACCCACTCCCTCCTAGGGACACAGCTGGGCGCGTCCACACCCCCGCATCCCCTACACCATGTTGTGCGGAAGGACTTCCACTCCCTGCCTGTGTCGTTGATGTCAGACCCCAGGCCAGCCTCCGGGCGCTGCAGTTCTCCTGGTTAATGCTGCGGCTGTGGTTAGGGCTTTAGTACATAAGCCAGCCGCCGCCGCCCCCCGCTTCCCCACCCTCGGCCTCAGCGCCCACAGTCTGCATGTGTGTGCGGTAGCCGGCTGCCCATCCCGCCGCTCGTGTTCTCCTGGAGCTCTGGATACCACCGCGAGGCATTTCTCTGCCCGTGGGAGAAGTGGCCTTGGAGGGATTGATATCAGTGGTTGGATTTTTCCCGTGGATCTATCAATTCACAATTCGGATTTGGAAGAAAGAAGGAAAACATGACGTCTCCAGCCAAATTCAAAAAGGATAAGGAGATCATCGCAGAGTACGATACTCAGGTCAAAGGTAAGGATTTTGAAAATTAGCATGAAGCATATGTTCTGCAGACTGGTGAAGCATGCGTTTCCACCCCAATTTTCAGGGCGTTTGTTTCTTGGGTGGAGCAGGTGGCAAGTTGACCCCAGAGGTGGTTTCATAGGTGGATCAGAGCCTTGGAATGATCAGCAGTGTCAGGGGCCACAGTCACTAGTAGTGGGCTTTAGGAATATCTTTGTGGGTTTGGCCATTAATTTGGCAGTTCTTTCCCAAAGGCTGGGCTGGGTGGGGGAGGGGCAGGAGGTTCTCCGGGGAGAGAGAGAGAAAAAAAAAGCTGCAATTTGCCTTTGGGTGTCTTGAGTCAAGCTTCCTTGAAGGACAGCTGAAATCTGACAGGTGTTTGGACATTTATTTCAAAGGTTGTAGAGAAGTCCAGATGGAAAGGCAACCTTGAGAAGGGTATACCATTTAGAGAGACCTGGGAGAGGTGGGGTTTTTCTGGTGTACTGTATTAAAGCTTGAGATTTGCCAAGACACTGGATTCAGGAAGTCCCTAGCCATATTGGGTGTACCTAGTACTTGCCTGGCCCATGGACACCCTGCATACAATCGAAGATCACAGACCAGAAAGAATAAGGCCATCCAAACTGGTTTCCACCCTCATCTAAACCTTAACAGAGTTAGGCTGTTAGGGCTTCAGCGTGGTGCTGAAGCTGGAAAATAGGAAGACATAATTGTTTAACCCTTCTCTGCTGTCACCTTCTGCTCCAGAATACATGCTTTTTTAAAGGTCCATTTCCTTTCAACAAAAATGTGAAGCTGTAAGGCGGCAGAATGTAGACCTGGGGCTACCAAGTGTTCTCTGCTCCTCTAGTCCACTGCTTAAATTGGCTTCTCAAATCAAAACCTATACCCACATAGCTTTTCCTTCTCCAGCATTTCCCTTAAGAGGTGTCATGCCTGTGAAGGAGCCCTAGCCTGTGTTTATGCAAGGCACTGCCCCTTTCTGACCAGTTAGTGGGAAGAGCCATGTGGCTCCAGTTCATTGAGACCTTAGCTGGGAAGTGGAAGAGGTGGGTGGCCTTGAATGTTACACCACATGGTTGGAGCTCTGGGTTTTTCCTTTGTTTCAGAGTAGAGAGGGAGGGGCCCCTACTCCATTCCCTGCACCAATGCAAGGAGACCTTTTCCTATCTTAGAGGACTTGGGAAAGGCCATGTCTCCCCTCTGATGATTGCCTTGGAGGAGGATTAGAGGTAGAGTGTGAAATCTCTTTAATCTCTTGGAAGGTTGAAAGGCAATTTGAAGTCATCATTGTGTCTTCAGGATTTTTAAAAAATATATATATTATCAGTTTGGTCAATGCAGGAGGTGCCCCAAGGGACCTTCAATCCCCTTGACTGCAAATATTGGTCAGTTTTATTACAAGGATGGGTAGTTGAATGATGAGAGCTTCAGTTGGATTGGAATTGAGAGAGGTGTGGTTTTGAGTTATAACTGAGATCTTGGCCTCTTGTCATTATTCATAATCTCAGGCTGTTTTTGTAAACAAAGGCCACTGGCCTCTGTGTCCTGTCCAGATGCAGCACTTTCTGCTCTTGTAATGCACTCCCTATGGTTTTAGCCAGATATAGCATTAAAAAAAATACATCCTGTTCTTAACTGTTGTCATAGGGGTCTTAATAACTTTGACTTTCCCAGGTGGTTCTCCATAAGCACACATTGACTAAGATGAAAAGTGGTTTTTATATGTTGGCGATTTTTTTTTTTTTTGAAGGTTCAGGGCTAACAGGTATCAGAATTTGCTGATTTTTTAAAAAATTGATAACAGGTCTCATGAATATCTCAAAAATTAAATACTTTGTATATTTACAAATATTGCTAATTGAGATGATGTAATGCAGTTAACTATTTGGAGTTTCTCTTCAACCCTGCCACAGGCTAGAGACCGTTTTTTTTTTGTCTTGTATCAGTATTTTTCTACTGACTTTATTCTGGAGTGTAGAGTTTGGTAGGTGGCTGACCCTGAGTTCTCAATCAAGGAGTTACCGATGAATGCTTTTGGAACTGATTTGGTTTAGTCCCTCAGTTTACAGCTGAGGAGCTTGTAGAGAACTGGAGAGTTTTGTTCAAGGTCACACAGCTAGGTGGTAGCAGATCTGAAGATAGGAGTAGTTTTTTGGACTACTGTATCTACACAGTGAAAATATCATCTGATCATGGTGAAAACAATTCTTAAGGCAAACGTGCATGATTTATAACAGTGATATATAGCAGCGACGCGCTAACAGTTTTCTTTGGTTGTTCATCATGCTCTGTCGCATCCCAGTGAGTGATCTGTGTAATTGTCTCGTCTCTCCAGGAGGTATTGTCATCTGAGGAAACTGAGGCTATGAGAGGGTAAAAGCCCTTTCAAGGTCACACAGGCAAAGGTGTCGCCTTTACTTCTTTGTTTTATTTAACTATTCGTTGAGTGCTTAGTATGTGTTCTAGGCCTTTCTATATCAGTCAAGAAGACAGAATGCCAGACCTTTATGGAGCTTAAATTTCTAGAACCATAGTCATGGTGGAAGACTATATAATTTGAATTCAAAGGACCTTGGGTTGGGATTGGTGCTGTGGCTTACAACTTCACCTTCTATTAGAATTAGGAGTTCCAGCTTTTCAAAAAATTCTGTTTGGTTTGTTTGTTTTGCTTTTTTAGAGACAGGTCTTAATGTGTAGGCCCTGGTAGCCCAGAATTCACTCTAACTCAGATTGACCTTGAATTTTTGACAGTCTTCCTGAGTCAGCCTTGTGACTCTGGGAATACAGGTATGAGCGCCTATCCTCTACAAGTAGAGTTTCCGAGTTTTATGCTTTCTGTGGAAGTAACTCATGGTGCTGCCAGAGTTACTTCTCTTATAGATGCCAAGATTTTTTTTTTTAAATGTTATACAGCCATCAATTTGGTGTGGCAGTTAAAAGTAAAGGTGTTGGAGGCAGTGAATCCAGGTTTAAACCTTTGTTCTACTATGTTACATGTCTTGTCTGAGTTTCAGTTTCTTAATTGGAAAATTGGCAAAATAATGTGCATTTCCTATTCCTGTGAGGAGTAAAGGAACTATCTAGTCTGCAGATTTCTTGTAGCTCAGTATCTGGCACCTGTGAGTACTCAATGACTGTATAGTCTACTTGCCAATTAGTCAGGCTGCCTTGAGGGCTCACCCTCTAAGCACCAGCTGTTAAATGATAGGAAACCAGAGTAAGAATGAAACAGTTCTAGGGGAAGTTTGTTGAGGAGTAACAAATATGTCTTGCGCCTGACATTTAAATCCTTTGGCCAGTCATGGTGGCTCATGCCTGTAATCCTGATACTTGAGAGGCTGAGGCAGGAGAACTACTGAAAGTTTGAGGCTAGCCTGGAGTAAAATCAGGTCCTGTTTCAGCAACAAAACAAACCACAACAAAACAAAACAAAAACAAACCTATCACCACTAAAAGTACTCTTTGAACATTAATTTCCTTTTATGCACTAATAGGTAAACTCTCTGAAAATATTGTATGTATCTCTGCTTTTGTAATCAGAATTGTTTGAATCAAATAGACTTTCAGTAGACTTTGGACTCTCTTCTATTATTTTGTTCTCCCCTGTTATTATTCCTTAAAAGCACCTACTTGCATGTGCTCTGAGGAATTTCTGAGGTTTCTGCAGCAGTCATACCTCAGTGTGGTTTTAAGGGGCAGGAGCAATGCTCCCTTAGTCAGCCTGATATGTGGCTTTGTAAAAACCACCATTGTTTCTGCTTTGTGGGTGTTTGGATTCCTTTGAAAAGTTCATTTCTTTCAGTGTCCAAACCAAAAGCACTAATATTCTTAGTCTTCTTGCATAGTTTTTTATTATTGTTATTTTATAAAGTGAGTTTATATACAGGAAATTCTGGAAATTCTTGAAAGCCTTGATGAGATTTATGATTAGAAACTGGTACATTTGACCTCTAGTCTGTTAGTATCTTCGCTGGCACTTAAGCACTGGATAGTGAAGAGTTTGAGATAGAATAGAGATGATTGTTTGGGTGGGAGAGGAGAATTCATATTACTGCCCACAATACCTCTAGGATCTTTCTTAATTAGGTGTCAAGGGTTCTCTTCCCCTCCCTCTCTATCTATTACTTCAATGTTGTTCACCACAGAGCTAAAAAGCAAAATTATTATCATTTTTATGGTTTGAGATGGGGTCTTTTGTTGTTCTTTTTTTTTTCTTTCTTTCTTTCTTTTTTTTTTTTTTTGGAGACAGGGTGTCTCTATGAAGTTCTGGAACTCTATATAGACCAGGATGGCATCAAACTCAGAGATCTGCCTAGACTGAGTCTTACTATATATAACCCAGGTTGGACAGACTCAGAGATTCTCCTACCTTAGCCTCACAAATGTTGGGGTTACAGTGTATATACTACTGTAGTCAGAGAGAAATGAACTTTTTATAATTTGTACCTGGAGCATTTTGATAGGAAAAGAACAAATCAATTTTCTGTAACAGTTTAACTCTTTTGATAACCTTTGGGAGCTGGTGATGAGATTTCAACTCTAGCCATATTGTGTGTTCACTCATGCTTGGGAATGCCAATTGGGGGTATTAAACAGGCTTGTTCTCTGGGGAGGGCTGAGAAGTTCCTAGCTTATGCCAGCAAAGGTCTTTTCCCTGAAGTGTCTTTCCTCCCAGCCTCCACCCCCTTACTCCCCAAGGGAACTTTAAATATAATCAGTTTGTGAAAAGCTGCAGTAAAATATCTCTTTGGAATCCTCGAGCAGATGCTCTCATCTTCCTGGGAGATGACTGAATGTTCTTCTTTCATTTAGGGAACATAGAGACTCAGCAATAATGTGAACTCCTGAAAGAAAATGAAGCTCTTTGGGAAAATTCAGACACCCAGAGTTGCAGGGCGCTGAAGGAATGCAAGGAGCTAGGCCGTACCATGTGACTATGCAAAACAGCAGCGAATGGGAGCTGCTTAGGAATACTCCTTACCTTTGCCATGTCAGGCACTCAT